TATTTTCCAGATGAAATTTTTAATGATGAAAATGAAGTTGTTAATGAGTTATAAATTCTGTTTACATCTGGCAAGAAAAAAAATTTAAATTAATGGATGATTTATTTATTATTTAATGTATTATTTAAGGTCATTGAGTGTACGGCAGATGACCAAAAGAAAATTCGTCGTCGTTTAGGTATTTTAATCAATCAGATCGAAAGAGCTCAACGTTACAGTGCCCCAGAATTTTGAAACTGAAGCACATGCTTACTTATCACTTCTGCATATTCTTCAATTTTTCGTTCTTTTTTCCTTTGTCTTTCGTTTCATCATAAATTTAAATCATTGGAATATTAACATTGGCTATTCTCGATTATTTTTCACAAATATCTTTCAAGAGCGAAAAGAGACAAAGTTGTTGAAGTAATGAAGCTTTAAGATATAATTTATTATTATTTAGCAAGAATGCTGCTAATTTAATCAAAAACTAGGCAAACTAATTATTTGTGTTTGAATAATTACTTTTGAAAAAAAATTATTCAGTGAAATATTTGAATTAATTAGCATATTTTAATCTTATATGCTCGATGCCTAGCAATGAAGAATGACGAATAAAAATAATTTAATCATTAGGTGTTTTTTTACATTTTTCTTTCTTTAGATTATTTATCAATAAATTTTTCCCTTTTTGCTAAAAATTATTGGAGAAAATTTTAATAAATTTTTAGATTAATTGAATGATCGTGAAAGAAAAAAAAGTGATGTAAAAGGAATTATTGATGATAGATATTTGCATTGATTTTAAATCGTTTAATCTACAAATTGTGCCTTACCCATTGTTTGTGCCATTTTCTATTACTGTCATTTATAACGAAGAGAAAAAATAGTTTAAAAGAAAAGAACAAAACTTATTTTGAAATTTAAACAAAAACATTTCAGCAACGAACATTCGTTCATTCATTCGTTCATTATGTCAACTATGATAAGGATAAATGATAGAAATCATTTTTTTTTAACTTTTAAATTTCAAAATGAAAAAAAAAAAACGGAAAGATTTTGGATGTTTGGAAAATTTGACTCGCTTTTCATCAATTTCTAATGAATATTTACAATTTATTTTCATTAATATCCATTCATTCGATAAAGAATGACATTACCGTTGTGAAATGCTCTGAACAAACGGATTTTCGTTTTTTTTTTTTGTTTTTTTTTTTGTTTTTGAAAACTTTCGTTCATCTTTTTTTCTCTCGCAATACTTTGTGAAACATTCATTAACGGTTGGTAGAAATATATTTATTAATTATTCATTTTCATGGAATGAGGCATTTAGCTCAGAAAGAATTAATTCTAAAATAGATAAAACGTATACGTAAGGTAAATCAGGTAAGTAAACAAGTGAGTAAATACGGAAGATTACCACTCAAAGAGAAGGGAAGTTCAGACATTGTTTAAATGTTAATTTTTTTCAGTTTATCCTTTATTTTTCGATGATTAATTTTTGTATTTTATCACAAGAAGAGGTAAATAAAGGACATAAAAATGTTTGACAGTTATTGTTAATTTTGTTTTCCGCTTTTTTTTTTTGATCAATTTTTTGATGAAATGTGACATTTCATTTATGTCAGTGAATTATTCCACCAAATATATTAAAGTTTAAGTTATAATAATAAAAGGAATATTATTGTGTGTTATTTGGTATAGCTAACTCACATATGTCATTTTGCATAAATTAGTTTACTTAAATGTGCTATTTCATACGGAAAATATAACCGGTAAAATAAACATCCAAACATAAAGCATCAAAAAATCCATGCTATTTATTAAGCATGCTTTCACCTATATCATTTATATGTCACGCATACTCGACATGCATTATTGTTGTTCACGCAAAATCGATGTATATTACTGTTATGTCAAATATAAACGACATATGAAAAACAAAAAGAGAATAATCTCAAAAATTTTTTACGAATCATTTCCATGCTACTATATCAATGAATATAATAATTTTGATCAAATTCAAATTATTTTTGTTAAACTTTTCTGCAGCTTTTACTTTAAGCATGAGTAGAGTGTTGAAAGATCGTAAAAGAAAATCAAATCTTTGTCCTTACAGCTAAATCAACAGGGATGAATGCACCTGGAAATTTTCAAATAAACAAATCAACTTTTGGTTAATTCTCAGTGGGATTGCAAATTTCATAACTGTTTCGGTTTGCCATTTGTTGTGAGAGTGATAAGAGGGTTCGGATCGTATCACTGATAGGGTCGCTCCATTAGGATGAGCTCACTGTGGTTTTGTTATCTCGGATGTTCACATGGTCATCTCTCATGCTATTTATTGTCATTTGATAAGAACATTGATGGTAGCAGTAAGTTTTATATGTAGAATTACGATAAGTTGATTGGAATGAGTGAAGATTTTGTTCTGATTCTTAATTGACAGTTCATTGAAATTATTACATTTGAAATTTTTTTTTTAAATGAGAATTTAATTTCTAAATTTACCAAACAGTTTTTTTTTCTTGTAAGTTTTAATTTGTCTTGAAAAATTTGGAATGATTTCCAATTTTAATTACAAGTTTTGGAAAGCGAAAATTAACGAGTATTATTTAAAAAGTTAAATCAGTAATTATTCCAATAAGTTTGAAATTATTTGTTCAATATATACAATTTTTATTTTCAAAACAGATGCAGCTTTGATTGGCATAAATGTTAGAATGAATAAAATATTCGTGTGGACATTGGTATGAAATTGGATAAAATAAATACTATTAAGTCTTAGATAAGTAAACAACGGTAGTTATTTTTATTTTAGTTTTCATAATTCTTTTCAACTTTTTAGCAATGATCTTATACAATTTATTAAAAAAATTACAAATTGTACTTAATCCTTTACAACTGCCTTTCTTTTTCAGAATTTTATGTTTTACTTTTTTTTCAACTTTCTCTTAATTTCTTTTTGCAGTTTTTTCTTTATGTTTTTTTAACACTTATGTTTTTGTCTTTACATAATTTTCCTTTCACAGTTTACTTTAAAGAGCATCTTTTATAATGCCATTTCACTTTTCTTACATTACTTTACTTTCCTTTTCACGAATTTTGAAACAGTTTTTTATGAAATGAAAGAAAGAGGGATGGAGAAAGAAGGAAAAGTAAACTGTTTGAAGTTATTTCAGTGTAATAAGCGCTGATGTAAAAATGTTGAATTTTTGGCTAAATTTAGTTGGAATAAGGCTTGTTAATGTTGCTTTGTATATTTTAGCTTTTTGATGCAATTGCGGCTAATTCGAAACAGGAAATTAGATTGGGATGAAAATAGCACGTTTAGAAGTATTAAAAGACAACAACTAATGATACAGCCGCATTGTGATAACAAGTAGGAAACATAAACAGCAGAAGGGAAGAAAGGCCTCAACATCAAATGGATATAAAGACGGATAATTGTTTGAAAAGCAGTAGAATGTTTCTATGAAATGCGGAATCGTTATGGTGCTTCATGAACTACAAAGCTTATATATCAGTTATTTTATCGTTAGTTTTATTTTTATTAACTTTTTATTTTCATTATTTGTTTATAAAATTATTTCTTAATTAAAATAGAATGGACACATAAGGCAAAAAAAATAGAGAGAAACAATAAGAGTGATAAGTTGAACAAATAAGTGAAGCTAATAATTGTTGTTATTGTTTTTGTTGATTTTGGTATTATAAATGTCACAGATAGGGTAATGAAAAAATAATGCTTACTTATTTGTTTTTCGTTTCTATATTTTTTCATTTATTTGTATAATAGGTTATGTCCATGCATACTGATTTAGAATATATTCGCTCAGAAGTATGAATAGAACTAAAATTTTTTTGATAGGAGAATTAATTACAAAAAAATAATAGAGATTTCAAGACTGATTTTTCCTTAATATATTTTATGGTAGTGTTTTTTTTGCGATATTTAAAATATCCTTTTTTGTTATGCTCTTGGTTTATGTTTCATTTTTTGGCTACATGAGCTTGAAATTAGTGTTTATTGATTATTTATCATTCGTAGACCAAATTAGTTTATTAGGTCCCTAACGTTGCTTGTTAATCATAAAGATAATTAATCCTATTACTTAATTCTATTTTCTAAGCAAAATTAACTGAGCAACAGCGTTTTAATTCAAATAATATTCATTTTAGCACTCAAAAGATTGCAAAAATTTGATGTATGTATACAATGAATACGAGCAGTCAGTTAGCCGCTGGGAGCGCGCTTGACTCATCGTCTGTTCAACAATTGAATACGACCAAAGAGGAGCTCAAAACTCATTTCATCACACGTGAAGGTGTTTATAGGCGAATGACGCTTTCAGAATATTCACGACCAAATCGTGTTGCATTAAATCAGGTTTTTTACTAGTTTAAGTTTCAAGAGTTGCAAGTAATATAGAAATTTATCACTAGAAATTTATTGTAAAAGCTGCGTTTATTTCGAAAGTTGAAATGATGGACCATAATGAAAATAGAGTTCTTAATTTTTGATTTTTGTTATTTGTACATCTCTTCTGCTGATGTAGAAATAATGATTTTTAAACTATAAGTGGGGATAATATATTATGTTTCATTTTGCATTACATTGTTCTCCAATCGCTTGTTATTGGAAGACTTTGTGACTTTGATTGTATACTTATGAAGAAGAAAGTGAAATTTCAATTATTTCCTTATCAGGGTGTTAGTAATGTGGGTAACGCACCTGTTCGCATATCCTTTCTAACTATCCATCCGACAGCATCCACATCACAACATCAGGCTGTTGGTAGTATGATGTTAAACGGTAGCATACCAACACTACGCAATTTGGCGTTAGATACGGATGTGGAGCATAATCTCGATGAAAGTGATTCCCCCACTTATTCGGATTCTGATATGAATACCAGTAACGATCGAATATGCTTCAATGTTGGCCGTGAATTATATGTTTTCGTTTATCGGTACGTTTTATTGGTTTAATTCTGATGATTTTGCTTAAGTTTATCGACAATTCTTCTCTAGGATTTCTCTTGCACCTTACTTTAACAACGGAATTTTGAAGCTTTAATTAAGAAGGTTGTTGCTTCGCTTTTTCACTGATTTATTCGATTTATTAAATTATTTAAAATTTACTGACCATGATAATTGTTAATGCTGTTAAGAGAATATAAATTAATTATTTTAGAGGTGTTCAAAGTGCTGTCGATTTGAATAAGCCGATCGATAAGCGAGTGTACAAAGGTACTTATCCTACATCGCATGATTTCAATCAAGAAACCGCTACAGCAGCTTCATGCAGGTTATTTTGGCATCTTTTATGTTGTTTTTAATATTCGATATGTTTTTGGTTGTTTGCACTAAGCTTATTCAATCACTGTCGTATATTATCATACAGTACACGGAACAAACAGTACTAAGTATACTAGGTATATGTAGTATTTTCAGTTCTACCTTCAGTTGTTACTACTTAAATTGGAAGCAGCATAGTAACAACAGTGACATAAATTAATTACGATATGTGACGATTACAACTCGAATACGTAGTGCTTACTTCTCCATATTTACGCATCATGTTTAGTTTTATGTTCACATTATGAAAAATATTTTTTAGCAGAAAAAATTATTGAAGGTTACTGTCGAGAGCATTTCATACTTGATATTTTATCTAACTAATTTCATTATGAAATGTCAAATTGATTAGATGATTTTAGTTCACTTATTAAACGGTTTTAGTTAGTTCGCAGTAGCAGTATGATAATTTTACCCAGATTCTCTTATTCTCTTTTTGCTTGCAATTTTTATATCATAATCAATAGATTTTTGTCAGTTTAATTCATATAATTGATCGGTAGGGTGCATTCTTGTCCCTTGAGCTATTTTTTTCTGTTCAGCGCATTAATTCACATCCTCAGCGAAGCATAAATACTCTCTTCATCTAGCAAACACTTATCAAAACAGGTTTACATGTTGCAAAATCATTCGTTGTTATTAGTTTTTGAAAAATTGCTTTTTATTTGATTTCTGTTGCTGATAAAAGACGTATTTGCTAAGAGTTTTGCACGCATATTTTTTCATATAATCCTTGTATTTTGCTGCCGACTGTACTGAATACTTTCATTTTATGCCATATCAGCAAAATCAACTTTTCTGCGTTTTCGAAGTAACTTTTTTTTCTCCTCCACAATGACTGTGGTGCCTAACCAAATGGAATAAAATGCTGCAAAAAGAAGTGGTAAAGTGATAATTTACAGCTTGATAATTGGTTTTTCTGCTGGACAAATTCAGCTTATTGATCCATTTCGAAACGACTTGCAAATCAGTCGATTGTACAATGAAGATAGACTAATTGACAAAACTGCAGTAACTTGCTTGAAATGGATCCCTGGTGGGTATTTTGGAAAAATTTTTGTTCGAATTGAAATTCAAAGGAAAAAAAGTTTTTCGTCTATTTATACTTCTCAGTTTAATTGCTAGAAATATATTGAACTAATTAAAATTGCAGATTTTCACATTTGTACTCGAAAAACAATTTTAGGTCAGCAACAGTGTTTTCTGGCATCCCATACAAGTGGTAACGCATATTTGTACAACGAAAATTTACCTTGCAATCAGTCTCCGCCTGTTTATCAAATTTTCAAGCAGGTGAATTTTTCAATGTTTTTCTAAATTCATACAAAAGATTCCGCTGAACCATCATCAGAATGAAAGGATAGGGAAATTGAATTCATAGATTTCGATATGTGTTTGATATTCGATTTTAGGGAAACGGATATACAATTTATACATGTAAAACTAAAACGTCAAGGAATCCAGTTCATCGTTGGGCCGTTGGAAATGGTACGCTTCATGAATTTGCATTCTCTCCGAATGATGATACAACACTGCTTGCTACAGTCAGTCAGGTAAGTAATGGCAAATAAAGAGTATGAAATTAATTTACATTTGCTGTTTTCATGCCTCTATTGCATCTGCATGCCACTTTCTTACCTTACTTTTTTTCATCCTGTGAAGACCTTAAATTTTACAGTGAGATATATCTGCATTTTAAAACTAAAGACCTAGCTTATTGTTTAAGAAAGAATTTAATAATTTAATCCTGATCTCAAAAAAATTCTGGAGTATAAGTTAACTCATGATCAAACTTGTTCATTTTTTTCATAATTGGTAGGCGCAAGCATGATGCCTGAGGATTACATTTTATACAGCATCAACCCACGCATGATTGTACTCACTATATGTGATTTATATTAATCATGTCTGATAGATATAATCTATTGTAATAATGTAATTATTTCTTTATCTTTCATTATTTTTAGGATGGTTTTTTACGAATTTTCAATTATCATGCAATGGAATTACTGGCTTATATGAAATCCTATTTCGGTGGATTACTTTGTCTAGCATGGAGTCCTGATGCACGGTACATTGTTACTGGTGGTGAAGATGATTTAATAACTGTTTATTCAGTTATAGAGAAACGAGTCGTTTGTCGTGGGCAAGGACACAGAAGTTGGATTTCTAAAGTGAGTTCCTTTTTTCTCCATTTAGCTGAAAAAAGAGAAACCGTGAAAAATATTCCGTAATTTTATCTGCAAAATCACAGTTTTCAATAACTGAAATAAAGCATTATATTTTCAAACGTTTTTAGTCTTCCTGATAAAACTGACTTAAAATACCATGATTTGAAGCGACTTTACTTAAAACATTTTAACAAAACTGATCATATTTTGGTTGCTGTGCTCTTAAATGCGCGAATTGTAGGTAGCCTTCGATCCTTATACGTCATGTGCAACAGATATTGTCGGTCCTTCAAGTATTCCAGTCGATCTTGGTTCTGAAGAAGATTTGCAGCCATCAAGTTTGAATAGCAACGATGTGCTGTTTAAAAGTTCGTTATTTTTTTAGTTTTTTTCAAAAAGTACCGAGATTTAAATACTTTTGCAAACGCTATTGAAAATAATGTACCAGAAGATATGTGTTATCAGTTGGATTATTACGAACACTAGTGCTATACATTTTTCAGTGATGTATTAGTGAGTGTTGAAATCAGCTGAGTATAGATCTCCGAAAAATTTATATGCAGCTTCTTAATGTATCTTTGATAAAATGTTGGTAGTTCATCTTTTTGCTAGTTCCATACGGTAATTAAAATTTCGCGAATATGTATTGCGTCATTCAGCATATCCTATCTTTATACCGTTTGTAAGTTCAATGTGGGTGTGGGAAATATGATTCATGTCAAGGATTACTTCTCTTAATGATAACAGTAATGATGAATATGACAAAATGCTAATTATTTGTTTAAATAGATTCAGCTGCACAGTCAGTTAATCGTATATTCATCAATAATGCACAGTTCAACGGGCCATCATTTCTTGGTGACCTGCAGTCGACTTCCGCATCTATCCCACTATCTTCGTTAAAAAATTCCAGTGTGTTTTAATAAATGATTTTTGCTACTTAATTATTTGCCATGTTATTTATATTATTTGAGTCTCTTTTGCAAAAACGCTCCCTCGAAGATTGGAATGGAGTGAAAAGTAATTGCAATAATTATACTAACACTAATGTAATATACAATATTATTAGTAATTTGTAAGTTATGATGCATTATTTATTTGGAAAAATGGCCTTGTTAGAAGCTCTTGACTTCTATGAACAATTTTTTCTTTATTATTATTTGATTTGAAGTTGATATATATTTAAATAGGCAATAAAATATCATTACATGGTAAATATAATAGGTGTGGCTTAAGGTAATTACGAGCAGGAATATTGCAGTTGATGGTTCAATACCCAGTGTTCGAGGTGGAATGCAGTCAAATGTTCAAACGCAAGCGAGGAAAGATTCGGTTTCTGTATTATCTGTTACCGGTAGTGCTTACACCAATATGGGCGTTACTTACAGGTAAAATTCATCATACATTTACATTTCTCACGTAATTCAGAAGACTCTAACTTTAATTATCAAATATTCCATTTAATTACGACTGGTTTATGTCAGATTTGGTTCTAGTATGCTTATTATTTATTTTAGCCAAGTATCGTCAGGATATCTTCTCAGAATGAAAATTAGTTAAAGCTTCTGATTGATTGACAATACTGATTGATCCACAGAAAGTTTATTAAAGATCTAAAAAAAAAAGTTTCAACGTAAATTTCTTCTGCGATTTTTTAAAGCTAATTTTAATAAATAACGTTGCATGTTTTTACTTTTTCTCGTCTGTCTTGATAAGTTTATGTCATTTTTTTTTATTTTCAGAATTGGTTCGGTAGGGCACGATACACAGCTATGTTTGTGGGATTTAACAGAAAGTGTGTTGAAACAGACAGTACCTAATCAAAAGCATCGTACATCAACTGTTATTTCAATCGGAACTGACCAGGTTTTTTTTCAAGAGTTGTGTAATGTGATTTACTGCTGAATATTACTTTTTTAGAATAGTTATTCACTTAATATGCAGAATATGGCAATGTGTACAACTTCGGAGACATCAAAACCTGCTTCTGTTGACGTTCGAGAGCGACCACATGGCAAAGAGAAAAAACATAAACGAGGTTTTAGTTTCGCTGCGAAGTTAACTGGTAGTTCCCATGACAGGTAAGTTCCCATAAGAGGTTATATTTTTATGTGCATTCGTGAGGAATAGAGAAAGATAATACGAGATTATAGGCTATTTATATGTGGTCAAACTTATCTGGAAAAAAAATAGGAAAAAAGGAAAAAAAATGGAAATTTTCAATCTTCTTTTAGATGGAACCGAAATCATTCCATTACTACAGCGAATGAAAAAGATAAAGAAAATTCAGCAAAATTTTTGGGAACACCGGTGTGCCCACGAATGGAGGAAATAGCGGTAATCGAGCCACTGATATGCAAGAAAATCGCGCACGAACGATTAACAGGATTGATATTTCGTGAAGATTGTGTGGTAACTGCTTGCCAAGAAGGTCTCATATTAACTTGGGCTCGACCTGGCAAGGTTCATGCATTGATCATAAATTCTTTTTATTCCTTATGAAAGTTAGGAAAAAATTGATATCGCTAATACCTACATCTTCTTGTTAGGTCACATGTAGGAGAAGCAGTGTCAAACGTTTTGAAGTGTACATTTGCAAAACTTACGCAGCATGCAGGTAGAATAAGTAAAAATAAGCTTTTTTTCTCAGAAAATGAAAAAAAGCTAATAAGATAAAGTTGCTTCGGTGAAATAAAGAATAACAAGAAATTACATTAATTAATTTGATTTCGAAATAATCAAATTTTAGGCAGCGATTCAGCGACACTCGATAAATTCACCGGTCGCGGTAAATATCAGTGGAACTGTAGTTTGAAATAGCATATCTAGTCTTCTGCAAGCGGGTTTTGTTAGAGAATTATTGGTGGTTTTTTTGTTAACAATTGGCTGGCCGATTTGTATCATAGTCTCTTTAAGCAATATTTCTAATAATGGTTTGTGCTGTATAAAAAATTGATGATGCCGTCTGAAAAGAAGTTGAATATTGATATGTTGTTCGTGTCTCTTCGATCTTTTCATAACTTTTGTTTCAAAGTGCCAAAAGTTTAGCCTTTTATTATTTCATATTGAAAATTCGATTTTTTTCATAATTTAAAAAATCTTATTACTTTTAGGTTTGACTTTCGCTTTGGTTTATTAAGTAATTCAAGCATTAAAATTAATGAACATAGCATTAGATCGCGTAGTTATCTCTCATTTTTTTGTACTTTTTTTTGAAACTTAAGCAATCTTTTGAAACCTTAATTTACCCCGGTGATAACACTTTTTTCCATTTTGTCATTTTGCAGTAAAAAATTTATTGTTGCAGTACGGGATATCATCACAGTGATGAAGAACATATCATTTTAAGATAATTCGACAGGCTCTAAAATTGTTTGTTCATTGTTGGGATCGTCTGTTGATCACCATTTGCTTCAGTTGTAATTTTAAAGTTAATTCATTTTCAATGAAGACCGGATTGTAGAGGCTTCATCTTTCCTGCTGTTCATATTTTACTTCCTATTCAGTTTCTTTTTCTTTCTATTAAGAAGTTTTATAAGCATGAATATGCTTATAAAGTTGTTTGGTCCAGCTCAAAAATTTCTGAGTTATTTTATGCTGGTAGTCAAGAATGTTAGCACGGGTTAATGTATTAAGTAAAGTGAAGGATGTGTAAAGTTATTGCTACTGAGAAAGTAGATAGCATTATCGAAACATAAATATTCTCTTCGATGATTGTGGACTTTGGATAACGTTTAGGATTTGGTCTCTTCTTTATTTATAGCATTGTTTTGGTTTTTTTATCCATCGATTTACATGAAATTGATGTGTAAGCAAATGGTTTCTCTTTTCCAGCAGGTGTTGTTGATATTATTGCACTCTAATTATATTGATAATTTATGTGAACAACTGCAAATTTTAGTCAAATTGCTTAGTATATATTGTTGAGATCATATTTGTATTTTAACAAGTAGAATCTAATAAATATTTGCATCCTAAATTCTTCTTGATCGTGGAAAGTCCTACAATATCGTATATCATGCTTTCATGACCATTGTTTGGTTGAAAGCTGATGCTATACATTGATCGTTATCACTGAACAAAAGTAGAATGTATGTCAAAGTTTATTATTAGCATTATTCTTATCGAATTTTTCTGCTAATAAAATCTAGGTTGGGTTCGTGTAAAAAGTGCAATAGTTGGTAACCTAGCCAAATTCATTCAACAGAATCATTGTTTGATAAGACAATGTAACTTTCAAACATCATTTATTACAGTCTCTTAAGTGATAACTGTTTAATTGTTTAAGCGGAAATTTTTTGTCTCGTCTTTCCCCTTCTTAAAAATGCATGCAATAATTTCAGTAATTTTATGGGTGCATGAAAAATATCAATTCTCGACTATTTATTCCATAAGGAAAATCAATGATAAGGGCAGTACAATACTACTATCAAACAACGGGGTAAAAATATCGTTTTAAAAAATGTATTGCCTAGAAAAAATCTTTGCACAACACCGGCAGGAAACTAGATTACAACAGCGATAAACGATTGTAATTTTCTCGATCTCTGTTAACAAATTACTAATGTAACATAAAAAATGATAAATTTCAAGCAGTCGGTTGAAAACCCGGTACGAGAAGAATGCTTTGTTCCTTATTTCCTCCAAAGAATTCCTTCAACGTCTTCAAAACTGCCTAATTTTTTATTGGTGAAATGTTTGGGGAAAGCAAACGATCGCTGATTTCAGCTCCTTCATTTCGATCCACAACATCATCACGTGGAACTTCCCCTGTTGACACCATATCATCATTCTGCAACGGGAAAAAAGGAGTCTTTGCTCTTCCTTAAATATCGCAGAATAGTACCGGTTATTTCCTTAAACGCATTTTCAATACGATACTGAATTCTGTTTCTGATACAAAACGGAAATATGAATGCTAAGTTGAATACTAATTTTTGAGACACAGAAACATACATATATAGCAAGCTTACCGAATGGTACCATGCAGGACGTTCATCACTAAACAGTTCTCTTTCATCATAGCTGTGATCAATGGCCATCCAGCCCTCATTTTCATCTTCGATATTTGCTTGAGAAGAGAATGCATCAATGAAATGCTTACGACGCAGTGTATTCAACGATAAATCCGCTTCCAAAATCGCCATTTCATCTTCCTCATACTGGAAGTGGTTACCTTAAAAAAATCCGAAGTAAAACACAAATTAAATTTAATAAACCAATTGACAACATAAAAAGTCAACTAATAAAGCAATTTTAGAAAAGCAGTTCCATATATACTTCTAGAAGTTATGAATACACACAACCTAGAAGCCTTATTAAATCAAAGTCTGGTGGAAATGTAAAATCAGTCTGCACTTCAACGGATCGATGTGATTCACTAAACTGAGCTGCAACTGGAAACGCTAACGGAGATTCTCGTGCCTGCAAAAATCGTAACATTCAATAAAGTTCTTAATAGCTAAAAAAGCTTGCAAAGTACTAACATAAGCATAAAGAATTTTTTATTTCACATTTCGATACAAAAGATAAAACTTATTGTGCATAAAGCGGTCATACTCGAACAGTAATGCCATATTTCAGCATGTATATTTTACAGCTAAGAGATAAAATTGACAAACCAAAGCTTTTGATCTCCGTATCAGGTTTGGACTACTTTCTTGTTCTGAATTTGTTGACTTTCTAGTCTGAAAAGATCCTGTCAGATATATAAATCAATTACAGATGATCACTCTTGAAATATAAAGAACATGGTAGTCAAAAATTTTCGATTTCTTTGTAAAATCAAAGTACTAAAATTTTCATTTGAATCGTCACAGCAGTTTTGTTTCAAGAGGACTTCGTAACACCAAAACTGCAGTCATACATCGTGACAATCCTTATAGTGCGAGAATATAATCTATCAGTATTAATTATTATCAAAACATACAAAGTAAGGAGATGGGAATACAAATTTTTGGGATGCCCAAAATTTGTCAACAGCATTATTAATTTGGTCTTCTTCAACCGGATTCCTGAAAAGAAAACCATTCTTGAATTTTCTGCTTAATAAAGAAATGAAGTCATTTGGAAAGCAGAATGAAACAAAGCTAACGGTGTTTGACACAGTGACTCTGTTTCGTCAATAACCACCGGATGAAAATCTGACAATTGCCCAATCGACCAACGAAATGACTTTTCTGGAGTTTCACATTTTACATTTCTCTGAAAAAACAAAAAAGAAAGAAAAACGTTCAAATATACGTATGGAAATTTGACAGGCTTATAAAATCTAAAATAATAACCAGACAAGTAAAAAATTAACCTTAGAATTATTAAAAAGGCTTGGGCTGTAGGTAGTTGCACAAAGGCTTCCCATAATATCACTGTCGAATGGATTTGTTATGTGAAAACGTGCAGTACTATTACCCCTTAAGAAAAATGAGCAAATTAATGCAGTATAGTTTTATAAAACTCCTAAAAACTACGATGAAATCCACATTCCTGAATTGAGTAAATTTTAACCAACTTCGGTCGAGTTGATTTTTCAGAAGGAATGTCCGATTCCGACGCCACCATTTCCATATTTTCTTTATCAGCTTCAGCAGATTTAGAATCAGATCTCAAAAATGATGACGTTGTCTCCTCTTCAAGCTTCATTCTTTTAGCCTAAAAAATGCCTCATCCTCAAGTGGACAACTTGAAACAAAATTATTTACATATCCATTAAAAAATTTACAGTATTAAGATGTTGATTATTTAAATTTTCTGATGTTTTATTCTTATCCATCAAACTGGTTACTTAGCATCTCACAAACAAATCTCAGCTACAAATGTTTGTTCTCAAACATAGAACATTTTAATTTTCACTTGCAACTATGGCAGTGACCTTTTCCCTTTCCTGAACTACACACGCAATCAAAATAACCATTTATTATAAAATCTCAGATTTACTCTCCAAACTTAACAGTCTAAAAGAATTTTTGAATGAACAAAAAGAACCTTTATATCACAGTCTTGTAGCTCGAAGCACTCTTCAGAATTATGAAAGCGATGCTGTCTCCAGAATAGGCTGTCATTGGAACCTATGAACTGCACTCGATCTTTCAGAATCGGAGAGAGTTTCAAAGCTATAAAAACGATTTTCAGTCTCAAGATAGAGAGAAGTTTTACATTGCACTTGAAAAGTGGTTACGTACAAAAAGAAAAAGTGTTAGTTTAAATTACAAAAATTAAATCGAATATTTAATAGCATTGAGCAAATATTAAAATTGTAACTTGTAAAAAAAAAGTTGACAACTTTCAGTGAAATATCGAAAAACTTTCAAAAAAAAAAAATGCAGGAAAAGATTTAAAAAAATTACCATTCTGTTTAATATTTTCATTCCTTTCCCGTTCATATGATCGTTCATCCGGTCCCAATATTGTACTATTAAATTTAGGTCTAGCATATGCGTCCGGATCGAAATCATTTGTTACATCCATTGCCTGTGTAAGCGTTTCCAGTATTCATACAGTAATACAGCTGAGAACTATGAAAATGCCGGTATGAAATACTGTTTTCGTAATTTTTACACATATTATTAAATCATGGAGACATTATGAGTACAAAATCATACAGAGATCCTTGAAAAACTGTAACACAAATATTACTTAAGAAAAAAGAAACAATAAAAATGCAAAAATTGTAAAACTAACCAGAATTATTTCGGACAGAAAGCAATGAAAAACAAGGAAAAAATAGACAGTTTGGAATGTGTGGGAAAAAAATGAATAGACGTGAAAATGGTGAAAATTGAGACGGGAAGAGAGGAAAAACTATGAATAAAAATGCAACACGACGTGGAACATGAAAGATGAAGAGGTCAAGAGTTAGTGAAATGTAAGAAGTCTTGCGCAAAATATTACGTTTTTCCTCGTTGTTATCTCATTTTTACGCTATCACGTTTGTGTAATTAAACCATCATATACTTAAAATATTTTCAGAATTTGAAGAAAGGTTTGAAATGGCTATTCAGACCAAGTCAGTGTGGCACAAATACGTGATCGTCGTCCGTCGTCATAATGTTCCGCTTTATATTCTATTCCCTGGTGTTCCTGATTACTTAATTTTCACGTCCGTTAGTAAAAAATGATTCAAATTAGAAATATTAGAATAGGATTACGACGCGTTATGCTGCACAATAACTTACGTACAGAAGTGTATCGTTACATTTTTACTACAATAGAAGCTATTTTACAAATTGTTAATAAAATATCGTATATTTATGTTATGTAAAATTTAGGTACTAAATATTTATATCACATGTTAAAGATAATAGGTGTAGCCAATATATGTTATATGCTAATGCGCTTACATATGTGATTATGATTAATGGAGCAGGAAATATTTATGCATGAAATGACTACAAAATCAGCGGTGAATCATGAAATTATTTCAAGAGAAAAAAAGGAAAAGGTCGTGGTTAAATAGATATAATCGCATATAATCGCAATATGTTTGCAAAACAGTTCTATCTTTCAAATTATTTTTAGAAAATTTTAAAATTTATCAACAATGAATTCAAATGAAAAGAAAGTTGATATTTTAATCGAATAAATGATAATTAACTTCCTTTTTATAAAAATCGAATGTGAAGAATTAAGAGGTTTACAACATGTTTAGACTTAATGGTATTACAGTGAATGGGAGTGAAATCAGATAGTACGTTTTTGAGAGATGTTAACAGATGATAGGAAAGTTGGATAGATGATAAATTTCTATAATTATTGCGCTAAAAAAGTACGTAATGATGTTAATGATTGTTATACATGTTGTTAAGGGTTTCAGTTATAAAAATTATAATGAATTACTTCATTTAATTAGTTAAATTAATTTGCATCTGTTCAAATTTATTTCTTTAACTTTGCGTCCTTCATTTTCGTAAATTCATTCACACTGATTATTTTGGATTTTTAATGATTTGATTTTGTTTTTTCGTTTCTACATATGTAATTGAATAGAATGAAATAGATTTGTTTTTACATTGAAACAATTCAAATTTCGGATGTACATTTGCTTCGAGTACATAACAAAGATCGATTTTGTTGATGAAAATTGTGATTAATAAAGGTTGTGAGAAAGAAAAGACGACCAACAATATGGCCGAAGTTATGAATAGCAGAGGTGAAACAGCAGTAACAAATCCGTTAGATCCAACAAGCAGTGATGAGGAAGTTGGAAAAAATGATGAAGCATTAACGTCATTGAGAAATGGTGATGTTTTGGACGAAAGAACTGTAAGTTTGATTTATTTCTGCGATTAACTAATTAGTAAATTTGTCTAATTGGAATTTATTTGCTTTCCAGTAAGTTTTCAAAAGTTTTTTTGGTACCTTCTGTGGCTGATGAACGCTCCAATTTTCAATGTTTTGGAGCAAATTGTTTTGTTTATCGAATTAGCTGATTTACGCAGCAAAATGTGGCAGTGAGATTCGCTCATTGCCAAATGGTTATTATTTTTTTAATTTAGTACGAAATTGATTGTGGAGCTTGAGGTAACACATTTATAAATTATATATAAACAGTGTATGAAAAATTGCTATATAATGTTATGATAAAAGTTTTAAAACGAACAGTTTTCTTTCAACAGCATCGCACTGAAGAAATCAATGTTGATCTATCGAAAGATAATAGCCTGATTGTTGATATATCGGATGCTCTTTCTGAAAGAGACAAGGTGAGGTTTAATAATTGTTTGTTGAACAACTGGTATCCTCAAATTATTTTAATTGTTTGAATGTTTGTTTCTTAATGTTATCAGGTTACCTGTGTAACACGATCAGAATATTATCTAAATATGTGTCTACATTCTATATGTCAACAGAACTTTGAAATGTAACCAGTAAACACTATTTTGTTCCGTATTAATGCCACTTTAGGTGAAATACACAGTTCATACGAGGACGACACTTCCGGATTTTTCAAAAAATGAAGTCAGCGTTGTACGAGAACATGAAGAATTCATTTGGTTACATACGTGTTTGGAGGAAAATGAAGCATATGCAGGATTTATTGTATGTTTCAATGTCAAATTATTTAATCTTGGTTGCCGATACTTGTAATCTGTTTATTATGCTGGATGAGAATTGTTTGCAGATTCCTCCAGCTCCACCACGACCAGATTTTGATGCATCACGTGAAAAGCTTCAAAGATTGGGTGAGGGTGAATCAACAATGACAAAGGATGAGTTCCTAAAAATGAAGCAGGAATTGGAACAGTAAGTTTAGTAATTGGTATAACTGACAATAATTTTTAAAATTTATAGTGGCGTTAAGATAGAGCTGAAGGTGAAGAAGGAGAGAGAGAGAACCGCAGGCATGGAATATTTCTTTTACGAAATTTCAAGAAAGCTTTATTTAATACTAAAAAGAAGAAAAAACTATTTTTCCTTATTTTTAGTATTAAATAAAAGCCTGCGAGTATTTCAATTTATTTGGTTGATTATTTCTTGAATATGAAATAATTATCAAATGAGTAGTAAAAAATGTTGCCTAGGAAATAGCAGGTTGTTCACAAAAGTATTTTTTACCTTTCGAAATAACCACTTGTTTTTAAATTGCTCGATAATAATCAACGGTGTTTGAGAGAATATCTTGCGACATTCAAGAAAACAGTCGCTATGCATGAAGTATTTCTGTGTCGTCTTGCGGCGCATCCGGTTTTCAGAAATGATTCCAATTTCCGGATATTTTTAGAATATGAACAAGATGTAAATGTCTTTGCAAATATTTGACCTTTTTAGTTTCGCAAGTATTTTTTTCAGCTTAAAAAGTGTAAAGCCATTTTAACATTTAATTTCAGAAATCGCTGTCATTTGATGAAAAATTAATGAATATTTCATTAGACAATTAAAACGGAAAAAAGTTTTACTTTGCATTAGTCTATGATGTTTATAACGTTTGGTAGAAGCAATTAACATAAAAACATGAGGATTAGAACCGTTTGACATGGATAGTAATTGTACCACTTAACAGATAATAATGAATCGTTCAGAGACCTTTTTTTAATGATTTATTTTAAAGTTTGCGTTCTCAAATTAGCTATATTATAGCTTTCGGTCCGTGCAAAAAATAAAAAGGAACTTGTTGGTTCGTTTTGGAAACGATTAACACAATCTGCCGATGAAGTATTATTGTCGGGACAGGTAAGGAAAAATGTATGATATTGAATTTTAAGTCTATCATATGATCAGTCACTATGTTGGTAGAGTTATCAATATATAATAGGATTGATACGTGGTAAAGTTAGGATTCAGAGTTGGAATCTTGTCATGATTTATAAATGAGAAACAGGTAAGAAAAGGGATGTGTGAATTATAGTTTCTTTTTTTTGTAGAAAGATGTTGATGATTTCTTTGAACATGAACGAAATTATTTGATTGAATATTACACACATGTGAAGGAAGCTTCATCGAGATGTGACAGGATTTCCCGGCTTCGTAAAAGTTGGTTTCTAATTTTGTTTTTTACTTTTTTTATTTTAAGGATAGGATTTATGATTCGTTCATTTTTTGCTTTTCTTCGGTGTTGACTGAAGTAATCATGATAATGCTCTTTATTATTCTGATACTTGTGGAATTTAAATTTTTTTCTTTGCTGATTTCACTTGTTTGAATAATTTATATAAAAGAAAACTTTAGAGTTTCTTCCAGTTCGCAACTTATAGGTTCTTAAAAAGAGAAATATGATTTTATTGATCGGTTGAAATCGCAGAGCAAACAAAGATATTATAAGTGCTTATTGCTTGCAGTGGTGAAATAAAGATTTATAGTTTATGACGACGTTTTAAATCTGCCAAAAGTTGCGAAATGTTTAAATTATAGAAATGTTATCATCAGAAGCTACTCCATAAAAAATTTCTAAAATAATTGGACGTTCATTTAACCATTGATTTTAGCTGTTCTTTTTAAAATTTATGTGAGCATAGCAAAAGTTTTATTTTTTATCTTTGCAGCCGATTCTTTGTTAAGGATGCGGCTTGCAATTTTTCGTGTTGCGTTTTTTTGGACAACTTGTTTATTGACGTATTGTTTGTTTGGCTTCTTTTCTTCCAATCTTAGTATGGAATTCTTTATCTGGCTTTATTTTCAGATAAGAATGATTAAGTAAATTTATATCTTATGCAGAAATACTGTTCTTAATATCTTATGCTTCGATTAATCTCCAATCTTTTAATCACTTCTGTGTTTTCAAAAGTTTGCAACGTCAATGTTAAAATGGTAGAAAACAGAAGATTCTGAGATGGTTTAGGGATTATTTTAAATTATTTAAAATGTGTGCAACTTATGCACAAAATTTTTTATACAGATTATGTTAAGTAGAACATACCATCTTCATTCTTGCAATTTCACACTTTTCATGATTACTGCATTCCTTCTCAGATTTTATTTGTATTTTTTTTTTTTTGAAAATTTTTCTTTCGACAGATGGGGAAAGAAAATGGTAGGAATAGAGTAGATTTACTGATATTATTTTACAAAATTTTATTTTTATTTAAAGAAATTTTTTGCAAAAGCTTTTTGTTCTCTTTTTTTTTTCTTCATCTTTTATTTTTGGCAAAATTTTGTCCAATAACAAATTACTGGAATTCTTTTTGTGTTGTATTCCTACGAATCATTTGCTTTTTTTCCTTCCTTTTTATCTCTCTACTCCATTTTTTATCGTTTTGCCTCTTTCTATTGTATCTTCACAATTTTGTAAATTTATTTCTTTTTGAATTGTCGAAACCAATTATACATTGTTGCATTGACGCTCGAAATAATTTGAAGGTTTTTCATTCCTGTCCTTTGCACAAAAATTTTGCAAAAGTCTCTTTGGTTCAAATTACTTTGGTTTAATTTTAATTTTTGTTCAATTGCTGGTATTATTTTGATGCATTTACTTTTCGATTGAAAAAACAATTGTTGAATCATCAGTTGCTGAATGACTGTCGCATGTTTGTCAGGTAGTTAATGTAAATGTTTACCCAAAATGTGTCGTCATTATTCATCTGTTTTGCTTTTATCATTCAATTTTGCCATTAATTTTACCGGACATTGGCCTGTATAACTGATAGTATTTAATTTATTCTAACATATCATCGCTTAAATTGAGATTTTTGATAGAATTGGGACACAATTTTTTGGACTCATGAAGTTTTTAAGTTTAAGCAATTTTTTATTTTTTTCGTAATAATTTTTTGACTTGGAAATAATTTGAAGAAAGTAATAGATGATATTACTGACGGTGTTTATATTATCTGCTGTTATTTCTTTATTTCCAGGAACACTGCTTTGCAATCATTTATTTACTCACATTTTCAAGAAAGTTTGCTGATAGTTATTGATCTTTGTCGCTTTTTTTTTCTAGTTTTCTTTGCAAATCGTGAAATCGTTCATAACATCTCAAATTATGTGAAAAGGGATACTTTTTTTTTTCATTTCTTGGTCCTGCTTTTTTTTTATGATTACATTCTTATGAGCGAAATTTTAAGCAAGATTAGTGTGTTTGCATTGTAAAGACCTAAAGGAGACAGAAGAATTACTGAAATTTAAAAAGATACATATCAATTTTAAGTACATTAATCTTGCTTAATTTAGGAAAAAAGGAAAGTAAAGAGTGGTAGATATGCTTGATGTGCCTGTGTACCGTTGTTAGTGAAATTTCATCAGTTTCACTCAGAGGATATTTTGCAACCTCACAGTTTAATGAAGTATCATGTTAACATCTTCAGTCAAGATCTGTTCATTCTGTTCAGTGTTAATTGATTTCCTTTTTAAATTTCATTGTCCTATGGTTTTCTGACTTTAATTATTTGTAAATGTTATTTCTTAAAACTATGTCAATTGGATTTTAAAGATATTTTAGATTTCTGTATGTTTGCCATTATTAAATTAATGATGCTAAGATAATGCTTCAATGTGTGATTAGTCTTTCTGACGGTACCATATACTTGGGCTACTTCAGGACTGTTAAGACTTTTGGCAGTGCTTGGTAATTTTTAAAATGGCACACCAACTTGCACTACTTTCTGAAGATCATTTTTTTGTTTTAAACAAAACAGTGCTATGCTTCGTATTTTTTTTATTTTCTTGTGCCACTTATCACCACATAATTGATTAATAATTTATGAAATGGAAAATTTTACTTCTACTCATTTCTTTTATCGTGCAAGCTGCGAATTATTTCTTAGATTTGTGTCTGTCGATACTTTTTTTTAATTCCTAACACATTTATTCTTTTCGCTCTTATCGTCATACATCATTTCCTGCCTAACTTTGCCTATTGAAATGGCAAAAATTTTTTAAATTTTCCATGCAAGTTGACTCTCTCGCTATTCCACTGCTTTTCTTAACTTAAATTTAATTCAAAATAATCGTGAGCACGATATTATGGATGGAAGAATAGAAGAAAAAAATTATGGGTGAGCAATAATTTGCAAGATTGTTATAAAAGGTCCACTGACAAGCGCGAGACAGCTAATTTCTGGATTTATTTCTTAATTCAAATTCATGCTGGCATCATATAATGGTACTTTTCATCTCTTAAGGTTTTGGATTATAAGTTAGATTTATGAGATAATCAACAGATTAGAGGTGGTTGCTGCTATTTCACTCTCAAACTGTGAGATGACTGGCACTTTCCATTAATTAAAAATTTGGATTTGGCAATTTCGGTTTTCACGTTTTGGGTTTGAAACCTGTGGGTATCATTGAAGTATTAATTTTCAATAAGCGGAAGTGTTTTAATTTTCAAGTTGGAAAATAAATCAGGAAGAATTACTTTAATAGTCTGTGTCTCTGAAAGTTTGAGTCATAGTGAGATACTTTGCATTGCTGTTATGGGAAAAGAGTAATCTTATTTGTATGAAAGAAGAAGCTTTTAGAGTTCTCACTTAACACTGCTGAAAATAGAAATCGATACACCGTACTACCATCCATTATGATCGTTTTATCTCGACAACCAAGAATAAGATTGTTCCACTTAAAAAAGAAAAGAAAATTCTTCCTTCTTTGTATAAAAAACAGTTGTTGAAAAAATATTTGATAAATTTGATGAAATTTTTAGATGTAGCCGATTCATATGCACGGATTGGTACATGTCTCGAAAAAATGGCGCTGCAGGAGTTGGATCGCGATCTGCAAAAGGACTTGGTGCGAGGGTCAGCCACTTTTGAAAAGCTGAAGAAACATGAGGTAATTGATCTTTGTTTCTAACATTCAAATACTTATAGCTATTCAAACATCTTATTTTTGTTTTTTCCTATTCTTTAACTATGAAATTGAGAACTTCAAATATGTATTTATTCTCAGTCGATAATATAGTCACTCCATCGTTCTGAAACAAATTGAAATAATCATTGAAATATTTAGATTAATTCAAGCAGCTTTGGGATGGATTGCTAAATATTTTCAGAATCCAGAAAATTGTAATATTTTAGAGTCGAGTAGCGACTGATGAAGAATTAAAATTGGGTGATACTCTGCAGTACTATATGAAAGATACTGATGCTGCTAAGGTAAGCCGTTTGAAAAATAATAAATTAAGAGTATCTTAGATGCTAAGACTAGAAATATTGTTAATAAGATTGTTGTCATTTCGACAATTAAATGTTGACAGTTGCTCGAAATTTTAATTCCTTTTCTTGAAACCTTGATTTTTCTTTATATTTTTGATCATAGTAATATAATTATTATACTACTTAAAGCAAAGTTTTAGAATACTTTTCGATTATTCTTTTATTGTTTTTTTCTTGTTTGAAATTTTTGATTGAGCAACATATTAATGATTCGGAGGTTTTTTGCAATCAAAAATTAATTTTTATTTGTAACATTGATCAATTTTCCAATTATTTAAATTTGCAGTACGCGTATTAGCAGTTTTTATTATTGAACTTTAATGGAATTTTTATTAAATATTATTTTGGCTTCAGGATCTTTTGTATCGTAGGATGCGTTGTTTGGCAGATTATGAGGGGGCGAACAAAACGCTAGAGCGCGCCAGAGGACGTAATAAAGATATACCAAGGGTATTTTTCATGCAGTTTTTTGCAGTATTTTCAAATTTTATTTGTTTTGCTTCCTTATTCTTTCTATTAATATGTGGCTTACGGCATTTGAAATAAACTTCTGATGACCTAAATCTGATCTGGTTGAGTATACCCTGGTTTACGGCATTCTTTCTGCATGCTTGTTTACAGTTGGAGATAGGATATACTAACACTTGACTCTTCATTAGTGCTTTGTCCAATATTTAAAAGTTTGAAATTAATGAACGCCAACCAATCTGGTACTCGTAGTGATTGACTGTATTTTTTTAAGTAAACGAAAAACTAAGGAAAATTGCTTAGGCAGAAGCAGAACAGAGTGAAGCTTGTAAGAAATTCGAAGATATCAGTGAAGTGGCAAAAGGTGAATTGTTGGATTTGAAGAAGAGGCGATTGGTTGCATTTAAAAAGAATTTAACGGATTTAGCTGATCTTCAGATTAAGCATGCCAAGGTAATAATGGTGGATCATTTCTTGAAGTTAATTTTTTTTCTCGTTGCTTTAATATGGTTTTCAACTTTTTTATCATCTGAAAAAAATTAAATACTTAGAAATGAATTTCTGTTTTTTACTCGAATGCATTGTTCATTTATCATTTATATTCTGGTCTTATTGTTCAGTTTCATATCATTCATCTTGCTGTTTTTGTTTTGATTCCGAAGACTCGTTAAATTGGCCTTTTGTATCACTAATTCCATTTTTCGCAAGTCATTTATGAGGTTATTCAACAGTGCTTTCTTTTTCATTAATCAATTTTGCAAGAAAATGAGTCACCTTCTTTTCTACACTGAAGTTGTTAAACTGTTCTGTCATAATTTGTCCACTGCATAATGATCTCTTAGACAACCCAGTGTAATATATTCTTCATTTACATTGCTTTGGGTTATTTTGTGTTCCATTGCTCACCTCCACAGTCATAAAAACAACTGTCTCAACAGTCTTATCTTTTTTCGTTTTATTTGATTATTGACTAATTTATTTAAATTATTGCTCGTTATTGTTGCCAATCTATTCATTCTACATGCAACATTCGAGTAATGAATGAACAATATCGCTTTTTTGTAATTTTTTATTTAATAATACTTAATTTTTAGGCACAAATAGCTTTATTGGAGCAAGCGTTGGACAAACAACAACAACAACAACAACAACAACAACAACAGCAACAATTTGATTAATCACTGATAACTTATTTGCCGCGAATTTTTTTCTTTTAAACTGAATGGAATTTAGAACCTATATTTTTACCTGGTCCAAATGGCGATATCAGGTTTCTCAGTTTTTATGCGGAATTAAAATAGTGCGTATGAATGGTTAAAGAAGGAAGAAAGCAGCTGCTTTATCGCAAGATTTGCTATAAGCTATCAGAATCCAATTACAGTTGTAATGTTAGAGATACAATTTATTCAAAGCAAGACAAAGGAGAGAAGCATTTTTTGTTGCAGCATCTTTCACTATGAAAAAATAACAAAAAATGAATTTAAAGATAAGAATAAGAATTAGATGAAACAAACCATTTTTTGCATTGATAATACAATGCTGAGTTTTCTTATTTTCTTTTTTTTCGCTTTTTATACGCATTTATAAGCAGTTGATTGTAAAAAGGTCGGAATTGTTTGCTATTATTTTGCTTATTTTCCTTCTCCTATTTTGTTAAGATCATTTTTCATTAATTGGAAATTTGTTTTCTTCACATTTCTTTGTCCTGTTCAGGAAAATAGATTTCTTGAAATGGTGGAACTTTTTGCATCTTTTTTATTTTTTCGAATATAGTAGTAATGAAATTTCTTTCATTCGATACGAAATAATAATATTCTTGAAGTATATAGACTCTATAAGGCGTTTTCAACAAGTTGCCAAGTGCATTCTATTACATGGGGAAAAAATTCATTTTTGTTGAATTATTATAAAATGCAAATTAATTACTTTTCATGTTGCACTGTCAATGATATTAGTTCGATGGTAAGATTTAATGATTGAAGAATTTTCGAACAATTACTTAACTGATTAATATATTTTTGATTTTGAAATATCTTAAGCCAATAATTTGAATCAATGAAGGAAATGGAGAGGTTAGAAGATTCGCTTAAGAGGAATGGATAGATGGACTGAACTTATATTATGATAATAAATGTTGTTGATTGTTCGTGGAGAAGCAGTGAGTCAGGTGATTCTTTTTCACATCTCTTGTTTCCGGTGTTGTGAGAAGTGCGGAAGTGTTGTAAAGGAGAAGGGAAAAGTTATAATTATTAAGGGTATTGAAAAACTTCATATAGTTTTCTCTATATGAAGATGTTTTTGAAGTTGCTTTTAAAGTTGCAAATATATTTTTGTTTCGATGTAAGGGAATAGGAGATGGGATTAAGGAAGTATCTTGGAAAACTTTTAAACTTACATATTTTAAAATAAAACATATTTATATGCACGTTTTTGGATTATTGTAATGAGGAAAATTAATTTAGGTAAGATATTTATTACAATAAGCGAACCATTTCTTCAGTCTCAGATCAAGAATGCTGATAAGAAAAGTATTTTTAATGGATCTCGATTGATGATTGAAAAGAGACAGGTGGGAGACAGGTGTTCCTTTAGATGAATCTCGACTTTTAATGGAAACGGGCGTAGGTTTCGGCCAAGGTCATAGATTTCTTTTATTTTCTCGTAATTAATTATCTTACATCTCCATGCGATTTTCCTTTCCTGTAGTATTGTTTTTTTGTTCTTCGTTGCTTTATATCGTTTTTTTCAAAATAAATTCATTGAAAATTCGATGCTCTTATTTAAATATGAGTTTCGAAATATTTTAGTAAAGAGAGCTTGTCCGTTTAGTAAGTAGATGAATTGCAAAGTAATGATTTTTATTTGTATTTTTTTTCTTTTTGGATCTTTTTCGTGAATTAAGATTTTCCGATAACTTCTGCTGCATATTCTTGACGGTTGCTCTATAATTACTTGTAAATTTTAATATATCGCGCCTTACATGCTTTTATTGTCTTGTCAGTTTTGTCACTTATCACTCCGAACTGTAATTGCTATTTTGCTCGTGATCAAGTAAAAAATTCCGGCTTATTCTTGAAATCGTTTATAATTATTTCTTACAAGGTTATTTATCGTGTACATATATCAGCTTTCAAAGATAATTTTTAGAAAACGTTATTTATTTTAAATTTCGAATGATTTTGACGAAAGATTGAAAAAAATCCCCTCTCCCCCTCCTCCCCTCGAAAAAAAAAAATGGATTTTATAGATCAGAAAACTTAAAAAATTTGAAGCTGTCGAATAGTTTTATCATTTCTCCTGAAATTCCATTATGCAAGAACTTGTTAAAAGCTTGAAATATATCGTGTTAGATTGTATTGGTTATTATCCTTTGTTAATTATCTAATTAAACTACTATCGTAGAGGGCTATAATAAGGTGAAATTGCGATTTGTAATATGAAGTAAGCATTTGAACTCCCTTTCTTTTAATGAAACTTTCGAAAAGCTGGGAAAGAAAAGAACTAGCTCATTTATAAGATTTCAAAACTGAAATTATTTGTTCCAAATGCTTCGCTGTTGATTAGTCAATATCCTGAGTCGGTTAATTCACAAAAATAGATGAATTCCTTATAGAATCAGTAACAAAGCTTGCTGTTTTCTACGAAGCGAAACGATTCCGAGCCACTCTGGATGAATACAAACCATCCACCGGATGAGAGTTCCGGTAGTACCATTTGGCCAAATAAGAAGGAAGATTATAAACTACAAGATTCCATTGGCATTGGTGCAACAGCTACTGTATACAGGGTATAATGATTTTTCCCTCTCATCTGTTTTCTTTTTAATGTATGTAATTTAATGTATGTACCCCTTTTAACATAAATAATACATGTGAAGTGTTACATGTAAAGTTTAAAATGCGT